CTATGGTTTTTGTTGGTGCTATATCCAAGTATAAGGGGATCAAAAAATCTCACATTTCTTACCAAGGTGGTGCCCATCAGTACGTGATGGCTAGGAGAGTGAACATAACCCCCATTTTGTTGGTTTTTGTATGTTTTTGTTGTATTTTTGTTGGAAAACCCTTGGAAAAGTTTCCTATGGTGAGTTAATGGTGATTAATCCATAATTATCCTCCGGTAATTTAACGTAGCTATTGAACATGGCCCAGTCGAAATAGTGGATTTTCCCATTAATAGCATGGTGATTTTCCATGGCGAACTGTTAGTCATAACCAGATGGTATCTACCATGTTTACCCAAGTGAGTTATTGGAGTGAACTGTGAACCCCAACTTGTCGCGATTTAGCGAACACAGGCGCACCGCCATGTGGAATTTTGCATTTGCAAATATCCTCTAAGTGGCAATTTTATTGGGATATCTTGGGATAAAAATGGACTATTGATGAATCTTGGTGTTCTGATGTGGTGAAAAGATATGAAAGGATGAACTTGAACGGTAAAAACAGCTTAAACCATAGAAACTTTCCGACAATGATGTGCTTGCATGTGGTGTCCACAGTTATGTTAGCTAGCTCCTTCAAAAATCTGGCATGAAGCTTAGTTGAATCAGTGAACTGTTCACCAACGAACTGCGAACGAACTGGGACGCAACGCATTGTTTTTGTTGCGATATTTTGATGGGTGATATAGACATGAATGACCTCGCAAGGATCCCCCAAGAGTTAGCGGTAAGGAGCTTTTTATTTACACCTGGGACCATAGAATGGGTATGTGTGTGTGTTGTTTTTTTTTTATTGGGGGATGGTATGATGGTATCATTTTTTTAATTAGCCCAGATGATTGAGAAATGGAATTGCATCACTCGAACTAACACCCGGTTGTCTTTTCAAGGGAATGGGAATTCGGTTTCAGTAAATACCCTCCGGAAAAACATGCAGATTTGTTCACCGTTGGAGTATGGACCATTTTTTTTGACCAACCAACAGTGGGTTCTTGTGGTGCTTTGCTTTCGCCCAGTTCCGAAGCTTTTTCAGAGACAGAGATAGCGCGGGTCCGCTGCAACGCTTTTGTGGCGAAAACGGCCATGGCGGGTGCGGACAGGTTTCCCTTCAAGCTCTACAAGCAAGAAGGCGTCTGGTGTTTGTCGAAGTTTCTGGATGGGTTGACGTGCTATACAAGTCTAGGCTAATGTCAACACCGGATTAATAACCCCACCTATAGGTCAAACAAGGTCAACAAGTCCAGTCAGGGAGTCAAACCCCCCCCCGCAATAATGTTGCTTTCATTCATCCATAAACGATAATCATCAGATTCCTATGGGAAAAGATTCGAAAACCAATGGTAAACCATCAGATTCCGAGGCCAGGTGGGGTTTTCTAATTGGGGGGGGTGGTTTTATTTGTGGTGGGGACACCGCTCAAGTGGGGTAGCCTTTCTGAGCTCCCCAAAACAGCATTTTTCAATAAGATTTTAGTTAGAAATCGATCATTTGGGGGAGTGTTTTTTCCCCATTTTTGGCATCTTGAAATCAGACGAATCAAAATAGGAATCAGATAGGAAAGGATCACTAAGTAACCCTGGAAATTGTAACCCGAATTAAAAAGTAAAAGGGAGTAATAGCAAGTCCCACCAAAAATTTGGAGATCCCGGATGGGTTTCGCTAATTGGGAGGTTGGAAAATATTATTAGGGGGGAAAACAACACCTAATTGACTTTAGTATTGCCCCAAAATCGGAGGAGAGAATGGGTTTCGCGTTTTTTAGGGGGTTTTATAAATCCGGACTGTACATGAGTAGTGTTTCTTTGATATAATATGATTTTTCGATATGTTTCGTGTTTTTTTCGTGGGGGTTCACGAAAATATATCCCAGTAAAACTTCAACATCTTGATGCAGGAATCAACATTCACCACATCTCCTCGGGGTGGAAAAAAAGGTTTTAGCGACCGTTCTTGCCATGATGGTTACCCTCTAGTAAACTAACAGTTTGCTATAGAAAACTGCCTATTTATAGGTGATTTACCCGATTTACCCATCAATAATGGTGATTTTCTATTGTACACGTTTACGGAAAATCACCATCTTTAATCGGTAAATCAACTATTAATGTGCCATTTTCAATAGCAAACTGTTAGTTTACCAGGTAGAAAAAATGGTGGGGTCGCGGCGTTGCCGTGTCATCATTTCCGTGGTTTTTTTTGCGTTTCGCCATGGTTGAAAAATCGCAGGGAACATCATCTGTAGATATAGGGAATGTTCCAACCAGTCAATGACCATTTCAGGAACCTAAATTGGAGGTACCTCCCATATATAAGGCCTATATAAGGCCTATGTAAGGGAATATCACCACAAAATATAGCCTTATATGGTACAGTACCTTCATTTTAGGATCCTGATACCCATTGAACCAGGCTTGATTCCAGGCTTATTTCTGATTTGGGTCATATCGATTTATTCAATGGTTATTTGGTTGGTAGTTTTAAGAATAACATGGTCAACATTGTTCAAGAAAGATATGTGCGACGATGGTCCCGGCTAGCCCCTCTTGTGCAGGGGGTGGAAACCAGACATTCTGATAGAAAACTGTGCTATGAATGGAGGTCTAATTTTCTATCAGAGTGTTTGGTTTCCACCCCCTGCACAAGTATAATACCAATTTTCTGGAAGTCTAATACCAATTTTCAAGCACAGGCCAGGCCAATGGCCTTGGTTTTTCATCACTAACACAAGGATGGGCATGCTGAAATTGTCACAACAAGTTGGATTTGTTTGAAACTTAGGTAACCCAAATTAGATGGTTTATCATATTGTCGTTTACCAGTTTCCTAAAGAGAACGTGTTATTCAGGGGTGTACATGCCCCGTCTTCAGACAAAACCACATTGGATATAGTATGATATAGTTGGTTATCCCAATATAATATATCTGGTAATATATGGAATAGTTATCCGGTAAAACTATTTTTTGTTGGTTATCCCAATATATTATATCCTCATTAATTCAATATATTTCAATGGCCATTTCAGGATCCTGAATTGGAGGTACCTACCATATATACGGCCTGTTTTTCAGGCCTAAATTTCAGGGAATATCCCCACAAAATATGGCCAAAAATATGGTACTAACATACCTCCATTTTAGGATCCTGGAGATCTCCCATTGATATGGCCTATAGTTGGTTTACCCATTAACAATTGTGATTTCCATCGTTTTTTGTATGCTTACCAGAGGCTATGTTGCATAACTCAGATGTTTTATGGTGAAATTCCCATTGATTAATAGATTTCCGGCAAAGCCACATATGCCATGGTGAAAGCATGTCGTTTTAAACACGGCATGTGGAGATGGTCAGCCCATCGCTGCGGTTTCCGCACCAGGGTTCCCGAATCGGGAAATCGCAGGTTATTGTTTTTGATAAATTATTACCCATAGGATCCATGTATGGTATATATGCTAACATTGGGGGTATACTGATGGAAAATGTTACCATATATACCATACATGGATCCTATGGGTTACAGTAATAAAGGGTAAACAAAATAATAGGTAACTATATAGTTAATGATCAATTATTGGTTATGAAGTTATAATCACCACTGAGTAATGTTTAATTTTATTATAGTAATGGCTAAGTATTGGTTCTCATTAACTATTTGAGTCAGCAGTGGATGGGTACTTTGTTACTTTATATACTAGTTTGCCATTTTACTGGAGGCTAACCAGTTTGAGGCAGGGTAGCTAAGATTATGATGAGCCATGATCATTATCACATGCCACTTGGTAAGTTCAGTGGTGAAATTTCCTCACTGTGGTTATTGCCGTGACTGGGGCTAAGTCGGCAAAGTGCTTCCACAATGAGGTGATCTTACACGCATGGCTGGTATGGCACATATAGCGGTAGTGTTTTTGTTCATACTTCAACCGCGGTTTACGGCTTAGTTCAATTCAATGGGAATTTCAGGATCCTAAAATGGAGGTACCTACCATATATAAGGCCTATATAAGGCCTATGTAAGTGAATATCACCACAAAATATGGCCTTCTATGGTACAGTACCTCCATTTTAGGATCCTGAAATTTCCATTGATCAATCGCCAGTTCAGGACCCTGGATTAATGTCAACCCCGTTTACGGCTGTTTAATTGGGAGGGTACCATAAAAAAATATCAGATGAAATGACTATTAGAGGAATACCCCCGTAATTAATAAACCATGGTTTATTTTCATCCGGGTTTGACATTACCTACCATATGTAAGGCCTATATAAAGCCTATGTAAGGGGATATACACCCAAAATATGGCTAAAAATATGGTACTAACGTACCTCCATTTTCGGATCCCCCGTTCATATCTGCGAGGGGCCGCCTGTACTGGGTGAATTGTAGCCATGAGATACTGTAAGCAAAAACATCTGAACATACCTGAACTGTTTGCTCACCATTGTGTTTGGGTTCCAGGGTCCTATTTCCTGAGTTGTTTGGCGATACAAGGAGGAAGCAACATCACATTCTCTTCTTAGACAATCATTCCCAGCAAACTCACATACCTATTGGCTATGGAAATCTATGGCTTTCCGTAGGAAATGATGTTCAGAAGGTGGATGTTCCGTATTTTGTTGATCTTCTGGAGGCTATGTCGGCTATGTCCTATCCATGAGATACTTAAGTATATCATAAGACTGCGATCCCATATTTAATCAAGGCTCACTCGGGTTGGCAAATGAACATATCTATACAATGTGAGGCCCCCAAGATAGCGTTCAGTTGGTTTATAACTCCAATTTCACTATGGTTTATGGTACTTATAACATCTTATAACATCTTATGACTATAGTTACTGGGGCGAATCTAAACCAACAAACATAACGTTTGGGGGCCCCACATTGTAGCTTTTGAAGCCAAAAAGAGGTTTAGGTTCCCAGCCCGCAGAGGGTTTTTTCACTCGGTGGCCACGTCGGCCACGTGATGCCACGTGGGCAGCCAGGTGATTGGTCCCTGCAGGGATCCGAGGGGAAGTACAGTTTCAACCCCGAGACTTGTGAGCTGGACCTGGGGGAAGGTGCACGCGGAAAGCGGAAAGGAAAGGTCCGTGGCGCGCTTTGCACCAAGAAAGAGTGGCACAAATCTCGGTATGGGATCAGCGAGGCCCTCTGGTAATTTCTTAATATTTCTTACACTTTGCGAAATGGTGATTTACCTATGAAAAATGGAACATGACCCAGTCGAATATTTACCGAACTGAAAAATGGTGATTTTCCAGTTCGCTATGTTAAATTACCAGAGGGTGTCAGATTTGGCTTCTGGTTCAGTGGCCATTTCAGTTACCTCAACTGGAGGTACCAGGTACTATGTAAAGCCGTCGACATTGCGGTGATTATCCCCTGATGTTTTTCCCGGAGTCATAGATTTTGTTATTTATACAATGTGGGGCCCCCAAACGTTATAAGTTGGTTTAGATTCGCCCCAGTAACTATAGTTAAAAGATGTTGTAAGATGTTATAAGTACCATAAACCGTAGTTATTGGAGTTATAAACCAACTTAGCTATCTTGGGCGCCTCACATTGTAGTTAAAGCTCAAAATACCACTTGTACCAGTAACTACTTATCTGGTTGGTGGTTTGGAACCATGGAATTTTGAATGACTTTCCAGAAACAGTTGGGAATGGAAAATCATCCCAACTGACGAAGTCATATTTTTCAGAGGGGTAGGGCTCAACCACCAAGCAGTTTATAATCAATGGAAATTTCAGGATCCTAAAATGGAGGTACTGTACTTGTACCATATTTTTGGCTTTATTTTGTAGGGATATTCCCTTACATAGGCCTGAAAAATAGGCCTTATATATGGTAGGTACCTTCATTTTAGGATCCTTTTTGATTCCCATTGAATAAATGGTGATATAATATCTTAGGATAACCAACAAAAAATAGTTTTACCGGATAACTATTCCATATATTACCAGATATATTAAATTGGGATAACCAACTACCCATAGGATCCATGTATGGTATATATGGTAACATTTACCATCAATATACCCCCGATGTTAGCATATATACCATACATGGATCCTATGGGCTATATCAATGGTGATTTCCGATTTCGCTGTGATCAATGTGGGATGACCACGGATGACCTGAATACCGGGCGACTATTGTGTGCCACCAGTGGCGCCAGAACAAAACTTAAGTCCTATGCACTAAACCAATTACTTGGACAATGGGTGTAATTCACTTTTCTTAATAATTAATGGCAACATATGGTAAATCACTTTTCTTAAATCTATTTTTTTTTAATATGGATCTTACTTTACAGAAGCTGGTTGGTGGTTTGGAACATTTTTTATTTTTCCAGATGTTGGGAATAATGATCCCAATTAACTTTCATATTTTTCAGAGGGGTAGGTTCAAACCACCAACCAGAAGATATTGAAGGTTATTTACCTCATATGTCCAGGTTTCCCTAACTTTTGGGTACAGCTTGGCGGGGTTGCTACCCGTGATCTCCGCCGCGAACACCCAGGGGCAGTGGATAGTGATTAAGTTTGAGCCATGATAGATGGGTGAATCATTTTTGAATGGAACAGATTGGAAAACATAGGAAAATCAACTATACATGTATGTTTTCTAGCTGAGTCGATGATTGTTGTTTGTTCCATTGGAATTACTTGGGGAATCTTTGTTGGACATATGTGTTTGTTTGGTGTTCGAAAGATAAAAGTGGTGCCCCCAGCCAGTTATGTTTGGTCACTAATGCACTCATTTGACTACATATTTATCTACCATAAACCCAACAGTTCAGCTAGTTGTGTTCACTTCAGGATAGGGGGCACAGTATAAAGTTGGATGGTTTGCAGCGGTCCACGTGAGATTTCGAAGCTTCAGTGGCTTCAGTGGCTTCAAGACACGCGATCCTTGAAGTGTGGCCACTGCGGGCCCAAAGGACACAGTCAGTGAGTCAGTGTTCCAAGGTGGAAACCCAGCAAGGCTATGTCTGGCTTTAAAGGCCATTGGTGGCACTCGTGAAAACGGCGTGGAGAAAGTGGCCGGCATGCGCGAGGCTGGAAGCCTGGAGCCCAAGTCACCCCATGGCAGACAAAAAATCAATGTCAGAGGCGGCCCTTGGAAACCCTCCGACAGGGGAGTCCAGAGGCGATTCTGGTAAGAAAAAATACGGTTATCGTCGATTTTACTTGCCTGGTGGCAAAACAAGGGCAACATCTTTTAAATTTGCCTTGTTGCCTGTTGGTTTTATTATTCCTTGATGGGTAAAAACACAACTCCCATGATGTTGCTTGACTTCTGCATGCCCGAAAATTAACCTCACCTAAGAACCATGTATACTGGGTGAATTGTAAGGACTTCAGACGTTAGGTCCGAATGTTGGTTAGGATTCAGGGAGATATCTAGCTTCACCACCTGGATGGGGAGTGACTAATCCTGAATAGTTAATTTGATTTGCGAAAAGAAGATAGGAATAAGCTAGGCATGTTTATATACTTTCACCAACTACTTTCACCCTTTCACCAGCTAAGAGTTCGCCATTTTTTGCAGGGTCGCTACCCTCTGGTAAACTAACATAACTATGGAAAATCACCATTTTTAATGGCAAAATACACTATAAATGGTCATTTTCAATAGCTACGTTAAATTACCAGAGGGTAAGATTGGCAACGTTTATATCTCCACCTTTTTATCCTGCAGGTGCCGTAGCTCGAGCCTGGGACGGATTTAGATGGGATGGGATGAGGTGCTGATGGTGGATGAATCTTGGTGGAAAATTGAAAATCAATGACAATAACAAACCAACCATTTGGGAATAGTTTATACGATCTATTTATGGTGATTGGATGTGATTGGAGGATGGTTTATTATTGTTTTACCCACATTACCTCTTCTGGTTGGTGGTTTGGAACATGAATGTTATTTTCCATGTCATATATGGGATGTCATCCTTCCCATTGACGAACTCCATCATTTTTCAGAGGGGTAGGTATACCACCAACCAGAATAGGATCATGCCACCGATATAGTAACTGGATGTAACTAGTAAGCCTGGTGGGTGAGTAAGTCCCCTTTTCGTGGGTTATCCCATCTATAAACGGATGAACTATCAAATCTGGTTGGTGGTTTGGAGCATGGCTTTTATTTTTCCATATGTTGGGAATAATAATCCCAACTGACTTTCATAGTTTTCAGAGGGGTTCAAACCACCAGCCAGATAGTTATTAACCATCATTAACCATATAATAACCTTCATCATTAACCATATATCAACCCACTTTTTAGGGCTAGGTTGAAACCCCCAAGCAGTTTATAACTATGCTTACTAACCACATCTCCAAGTAGCCTCCGGTCGAACATGGGCTGGAACATGCGGATGATATGTTCCGGCTAGCCATGATTGATTACCGGAGGGTCATCGTCGTACCCGACCTGGTAAACATACAAAAAGCTATGGAACATGGACCATAGAAATAGGTGTTTTACCTATTCAAATAGCGATTTTCTATAGCTATGTTAGTATACCAGAGGGTATGTGATCGTTTATATAATTGTTTTCCTTGTTGATTGGAAGGTATATCCCGTCCGGAGAATTTGTGCTTTTGGCGGTGAGCATCTAAGACTCGTCTCGACAAATGGCCTTGACTATGATGAAAACTATCAGATTGAGTATGGCTGCATTTGTCGCATACATCCCTAATTTCACCAGTTTATCATCATTTTCCTCCTTGTAATGACCATAACCGGGGGTATGCTAGCTATGCTCAGACAGACCCAACCCCAGTTTAAGTAACTAGGCTATCAACGCAATTACAGTACCAGTTGGCGACCTAAGTGCTGATCCAGTCATTGTATATATATATAGATATTTAATGATATTTATATGTATAATATTTATATCTACAATGTGGGGCCCCCTAGATAGCGAAGTTGGTTTATAACTCCAATAACTCCTTGTTTGTGATCCCCATAAGTATAGTTAATGGGGGTTATAAACCAACTCATAGCTAGGGCCCCCCACATTGTATCTCTATATATATATATGTATACATGTGATATTTGTTTGCTTTATCTGTTTGTTTGTGCTCTCTACCAGCCTTATATTTGATATGAAAACATCGTTTCCCCAAACGATTGCGCATGGAAAATCATGCCAATGATGCGCGAAAGCCGCGTGAATCCTCAGACAAAACCCCCAAATCTCAGTTTTGGAAGATTTCAACCATCTCAGGAGCAGGCTGAAGAATTTGGAGTTCACAAACCCACGTCTTTCTGGTAGAAAAACATAAAGTGCACACAGTTCTGAAGTCTTGGCAGTTTGTACCACAATATATATATATATATACATGCAAATGTTTATATGCATATGACCCATGACATCTAACTGGGTGTCCTCCAGTTATCTAGCTGATTATTTTTATGTTCATTGGTTCTCCACTCAATTACTCTGTCCCAGCATTGGTTTAAGGGAAAGCTGCAGGACCCCCCCATGAAACCGAGGTAAACAAAACACAGCTGGTTGGTGGTTTCAATCATTTTCCATAATATATGGGATAATCTTTCCCATTAACTAATATTCTTCAAGATGGTTATTGCACCACCAACCAGACAGGGTTTCCTGAAGATTTGCCCCCCCAGATCTTTTGAATCCCTCTGCCGAGGCTTCTATTGCCGACCTATCCAGCAGGAGCCCCTGCGTCCTTCGTCTGCAGATGCTGCGATACGTGCTGGAGCAAGTGTCTCGGCTTGGGCTTGACTGGAGAGTTCCACCGGGGTTGACAAACTGATGTTTTCATGGACTTAAGTACAACCAACACAATTTACCAGGAGATTAAAACAGACTATTTGTGGCTGGTTAAGTCATGTGGAATCTGAATTTTGCCTGGTAAATTCACCATTTTTGACATAGACAAACATAGACAAAGCCATCTGGATGTAACCGTACAGATCTAGATTTGAGTTTTGTGCTCGATGGGTGAGCGAGAATTCCTTTGGGAGTCCATGTGATCCACGAATGGAAACTGCTTACTGCTTACCATCAACAGCTGGACAGAAACCACAAGCTGGGCCATTAATCTCAATTGTAACTTAGGTCATAACCTTCATGAACATAATCATTAATTATAGGATATTATAGCCATATACCTACCATAAACCATAGATTCTTGGAGTGTTTTTAGTGTTTGCCAACTTCGCGATGTTTTTTCGTCAACGGTGTCCCTAGCGGGTCAGAACCGGAGGCATCCAGATCAAGTCCAGCGAGATCATGCGGGAGATCCAGGATGAGGCCGATTCTTTTGTTTGTTTCACCATTATAGTTGATTTGTCCATGTTTATCCATTAAAAATGGTGATTTGCCATAGTTATGTTGGTTTATAAATGGCTTAACTATGGTTTATGGTAGATATAACTATAGATAACTATGATTAATGGGGTTTATAAACAAACTTATAGGGGGGCCCACATTGTAATTATGGATAATATTTGGCATCTATTAATCAATGTTTTTTTTCACCATAAAACTGAGTTATGCAACATAGCCTCTGGTAAACATACACAAAACGATGGAACATCACAATTTTATTAATGGGTAAATCAACTATAGGCCATATCAATGGTAATTTCAGGATCCTAAAATGGAGGTACTGTACCATAGTTCTGACCGTATTTTGTGGGGATATTCCCTTAAATTTAGGCCTCCAAAATAGGCCTTATATATGGTAGATACCTCCAATTTAGGTTCCTGAAATGGCAATTGATAAAATATGTGCGTTATGCTGCCTCGTGGGGTTTTATGGTAGATATATGGTAGATATATGACATACGAATGCTTAACCAACAGGATGGGTACAAACTAATCATGAATAGTCTTTTGGTGTGGGATTATCTACTTACCAGCTTTGTTGACCCTGATGAAAACCATGGAAAACACCATTACCCTCTGGTAATTTAACATAGCTATTGAAAATGATCATTTATAGTGGATTTACCCATTGAAAATGGTGATTTTCCATAGTTTTTTGTATGTTTACCAGAGGGTAAATCACTCTAAGATTGACTGACAATGAACATGGGGGTGTCTGCTTCTGGTGCATCCTAAAATGCTTGGCGCTTCATGAAAAAATCGTTTAGGCCGGTTAGTTCACCCCAGTGTTTTGAGTGAACATTGCCCCGTCAAAAAGCGCCCATGTTTTATCAGGGTTATAACCTACCCTCTGGTAAACTAACAAAAATGGAAAATCTCAATTTTTAATAGGTAAACCATCTATTTCTATGGGCCATTTTCCAGTTCGCAAACTGTTCGTTTACCAGGCCGAGTACCCTACTTACTAACTGTAGGCAGTATAACCCCAAAAAATGATGCTTTGAAATAGGGAGCTGAGGATAAACCATAAGATTTGGGGGGAATTATTGGGCCTCTACTTAAGCTGATGCCTCCTGCGAAGATCTGCGTTTTGTTAAAGCCATAACTAGATATTAATCTACGATAAAGTAGTTATTCTATCCCCCACTGGCAATCAAACATTGATATATGGAAAATGCCACATTTATGGATTAGTTTGCTATTTAAATGCACATTGATAGGATATTTTACATCGCTCAAGTGGCGGTCCATCTCGCAAGGGAAAGTTGGGGCAGCTATGCGAAGCATGTTGGACACGGAGCGGGCTATACCCTTGGATCCCTTTGGTAATTCAACTATAGCTGTTGAAAATTGCCATTTACATTTGATCTACTAAAGAGAGGTGACTTGTCATATCAGCCATTTAGAACTTACCAAGCCGGGCCAACTTCATAAGGTGGGCACCTCTCGTGAACTCCCAACGTTCCAAGGAGGAGAACGAGGGAGCGCTCTTCGTGTTACCATCCCAGCTGAATGGGGCGGAATACACCTCGCACGAGTGCCTTGGCGCGGGGATGCCCTGGTGGTGATGAGACGCCCTGGGGATATCCGGCATATCCCACTGATAGTACCATGAAAAACATATCAAATGGCTTGGAATTCAGATACTTCCTGGAATTTGACCCAAGTGGTTGGAAAGAAAACATGATTTTGGAATGCAGTAAGGCATGACTTATTAAATGCTGGTGATTCAATCATGAAGAGCTTTGTGATTCAATCATGAAGAGCTTGGGAGTTGTTTGTGACATATGGGTCTCTGTGTACAAAATCCGCGGGGACCTTCCGAGCGGAATGATGGTTTCCGTAGCCACATTTAGCCCATGACTTGCCAGAGATTGGACATGAAAAAACCATATCCCAAAAGGATGTTTTTTTTTGGGGGGAAGGGGTTACCCGATGATGACAGAGGTTAGTAAGGTTAGTAAGGTGAGTCACAGGTTAGTCACATGGTCAAAGTAACTTTACCAGGTCATAGTCCGATTAGTAACCACATGTAACCAATGTAACCACCAACCCTCATGAGGGTCGAGGAAAAACCTGTGTGAATGGCAATAAGAATTGGGCAGCAATTTGGACAATCGAGCCACCACGTGAGTAGAAACCTTAAAATCATTGGAATTGTATACCGGAAAATTTTACCGGAAAGCCCTGCAATTCGTGGTGGAACAAAAAGACACATGGTTTCGTTTCTTTGTAGTTCCAAAATCAATCCATTGACAAGTGATCCGATGGATCATCGGATCCCAGTTCGGTGTTTTCAGATATGTGGTTGTGAAATCCGAATCACCAGTTGAAAACGGTCCAGTGTTCAACATCCCATGATTTTGTTTGGGTTGAAATACCATCCGTTTGGTGCAGGATTTCGGCACCATCCACTGTATGTGACTTGTTACAATTCAAATCCCAGCCATTTTGATGATTTCTCAGGGGTTGAGCACATACGCATGGTGGTTGGTGGTTGCAATGTTTGTCCCGTTCGAAGCAACGAATTTTTAAACAGAAGGGTGAGATGATTTTTGTCCACCATGTCTTCCATGTGTACAATCTGAGGCCCCGAAGATAGCGTTCAGTTGGTGAACATAATTCCAATTTCACTATGGTTTATGGTACTTATAACTATAGTTACTGGGGCTTATAAGCCAACACACATAACTAACTGGGGGGGGGGCACATTGTAGGATTCTGGATAAACTTGATCACGTTACTCACGCTGCGGCGTCACTGCAATGGGGATTGTAGGGGTAACTAACCCCCAATCTCCGAACCTTTCAGGTAAGTGAATTATGATAATCCTTTTGAATTGGGCCCATTGGGCTGCCAAGTTTTCGAAATCAAAAATTGTCCTACTGTATTCCGCTGCTCTACAGTACTTGATTTGCATCCTGGGGTGTGGGAGAGAAATCACAATTCCACTGGATGTGTTGCACGGGATGGATCATAGCCGATCATAGCCATACAGATCTAGATTTTGTTTATGCTTTTGGGGGTGGGTGGATTACCCTCCAGCCATCAAAGATGACAATAGAAAATCCATCATTTAGTTCGACAATTTTCCCAGCTATGAACCTCCATTTATAGTTTTTTTTCCTGCATGTTCCCATGATTTTCCCATGATGATGACCGGAGGGCAAGCATTTTTCAGACCAAAACTTCAACAGTAGGGGATCAGCCACCAAGCCCCCAAGCCACCAAGCTACTCTAAATGTTCCTACAGGAATTATTTGGTTCGAGGTCATCTATCCTACATATATATATAATTATATATACAGTATATATAATTTTATTTAATGGTCCAGCATCTGGTGGTCCCCCCTCCACCCCCGGAGATGGTGACGGTCCCTTTTTCTGTATATGCAAGTTATATATGTTTATATATACCCTCTGGTTATTTAACATAGCCATGGGATTTATAGATGGTTTACCTATTTAAAAATGGTGATTTTCCATGGCTATGTTAGTCACAACCAGATGGTAATTACATAGATGTATATAATGGGATCCCAAACATGCTGGGGATATAAATCCCGAACTGAGAATGGATTGATGACCAATACTTGGATCGTCTCACGTGGTATCTGGTAAGTAAGCATAGTTTTTACGCACTTCCATGGGATAAGCCGCTTAGGTGACTTACTAACCAGGGTCACTAACGAGTTATTAAGTTAGATGACAACCCAACTAGAACATGCTAAGATTGTAAATACTTGGTGGTTCATCCTAGTTCTTAATTGGTTTATAACCCCAGTTATAAGTGAACTAAGCCTACTTAGCCCATGTATGATCGGGGATGAACCACCTCCCAGACCAACATAGCTCCTGCCATGATTTGGGTGTTGGAAGAATGCTTTACTGGAAAGCAACATGGAATTCTCAGGGCGATTTTGTGTTTTTTGCGAGATGATATATAAGCCATCACAATCCCTTTGTTAATACTTGAAATATATGTGAAACAAACGGAAAGTAACTTAGTGAATTATAGCTACACCAAAATATAGAAGTTGGTAAAATCCAAAATTGTGATGCAGTAAATGATGTTTCTATCTTTTTGGAGGTTATTATATATATAATTATATATATCATATATCTACTTATATCTAGGTTAACCAACTGGATGGGTACAAACTAATCCTTTAGTCTTTTGGTATGGGATTTCTACGTTCACCAGCTAAGTTTTTTTTTTTGGTGGGGTATGTAAGATTTCGGCTGCAACCCTTATAGGTGGATGGATCCACTACTTATCCCACTGAAAAACATATATATATACTGTATATATATACTGTATGACACTGTTTTTTTTTAAATATATATATATAATTTAATAATATTTAAATGTATAGCAGCTGTTGCTTTTCCTGATCGCCCGGCCTAAGGAGGCGGTCTATTGTTGAAGTGGTCGAGGAGGGGGCTGCTAGGTTGGCAGCGTAAACGAACAGGTCACTAACCTTTGGTGAACTAAGGTACAATGTGAGGCCCCCTAGTTATAAGTTGGTTTATAGCCCCATCAAACTATAGATATATCACCTATAAACCCTAGTTATGTTAGTTATAAACCAACTTAGCTACCTTGGGGGCCCCACACTGTATATATCTTTTCACCACATCAGAAAACACATATTCATCAATATTCCAATTTTATCCCAAGATATTCCAAACAAAATGCCACTTGGAGGTTTGACAAAATATTGCAAAATTCCGCAAGGTGGTGCCCCAGTTCGGAATTGCTAAGTTTGTTTCGATAACTCCAATTTCACTTGGGTTTCTGGTAGGTTTACCTGCTTAATGGAGGTTGTAGCAGAGAACATAGCATATAGAACTGGTAAATGACATAGCGAACATAGCCGTTTAATAGTACGGTTATACCAGTTTCCTGGACTGTTAAATATGTCATATATCTTATGGTTATTTAGCACAGCGAACTGGTAAATGGTCCAGTTATGTTTTTTTTTGAGACTTATGTTTACCTATTAAAGATGGGTATCGAACTGGAACATCCCATTTTCATATATAGGTAAAACATCGAACTATAAATGGTCCATGGCTTCCATAGCTATGTGAAAAAAATGACAGAGTGTATCCCACAAACTAAACCCCCAAATGATGGCCAAGTTGACTTACATAGTACACTTGGTTAGCTATTTTTTTAAAAAATGCGGGCCTATTGCTATATGAGCAAGGGTCAAAAGACGCTATGAAAGGCTTCAATTACGATCCGCCATCACTACTCAAAATATGTGATTTACTGTGTGTAGCGATAGGGGGCCTTATGTAGCGATACCTCTTTTTAGACTTTGTTTATGATTGAAGCTTCCTGTTGGGCGCATGACTTTCCAATCTTTTGATGTCAGAATGCGACACTGGAGCAGTCGCAGTGGGCTGGTCTTCCTGGGTAGTTGCAAGATGGCCTGCCGTCAAGTATATATGAGATAGTTACATTAAACAATATTGATATATTGGGGTATGCTGATCTATAAGGTATGCAAGAAACTAATTCATAACGCATCATGAGCTTGATGATGGTGATGATGCTGATGATGATGGTGATGGTGATGATGTTGATTCAGATAGTGACCGTGCTGAGATATGTTGAAAAAGCATCCTTGTGCGGTCACGGACGCTTCTCCAAAGCCACTGTCCAGGAGTAGAATTGCAACATGGAGCTTGTCAGAATTTCGTGTCACTTGAAACATACACCTGAGATCACACATTTTCTGGTCCCCGTAGCGATGCCCGAAGCGATACCCCTCGATACCCAGAGCGATACCTGAAATCCATGAAATTAGGGAGTACCCCACATGGTCACTTGAAACTATACAACTTGTGCTATAGGTGGAAAAATATGGGAAGTATGAACAAGGGTACCCTCAAGTTCTTACTGGGTTAGTTCTTAAAGGGTTCATTTGGTCAGGGTTTTGCCGATTCATTTTGGCGTGGTATTAGGTTGCAAAGGAGGCGGGGTGAAGAAAAAAAGGCGCCGGAAACAAGGCAGCACAGGCAAGACAAGCCAAGACAAGCCAAAACAAGCCAAGGGCAGCCTCCGAGGTCAGATGACCTGCAGTGAGTCCGGCTGGTGTCTAGCTGAAGCTGTCGACGTCAGCCTTGGTGATCAAGTAAAAGTTTGAATTTCCCTGGAGATACCATCGCAAGGGGAATAAGAATCCGATTCCTCATCTGGATCCTCCTCTTCTAGCAGCAATTCTGCCTAGTTGGTGAAAAGGGTGCTGGGACTGTGTGTAGCGATAGGGGGCCTTATGAAGCGATGCCATGACCTCACCACATGAATTGAGTTTTGACCGTCGCACATATAATATAGATAGTCTTAGATAGTTGATGAGGTGTATAAAGCAACTTAAAATTGTGGGGACCTCACCTTGCAGAAATAGTTTGGAAATTTCTTCCCGTTTTTTTTTGGAGCCACCATACAGGGAAACGGGCTGGGAATATACCCTCCGACTGACATCGAACCCGCCCAGACATCGAGGGAGACTACGGTCCTCCATGGCTGTAGGTTATTTGCCCGGTCTACGTTCGTTGTTTACCTTTCTTGGGGGCTTTCTGGTATGCAAAAAAACATCGCAGGGGAGAAAAGAAAGCCGCCATTTCCGTCAATGTGGGATTATCGGGGGTTCTAAGGTTGGCCACGTTGTTCGGTGCTCCAGTCCCCTCTGAAGGAATATGAATATAGTACGCTAAAAAAGTAGCATGTAGTACCTCGCAATAGATGGCAATACATGTTTTTTTTAGCCTCTGCCCTATGAAACTTTAGTAAACCCTCATTGCGGGGTGGTTGAGTCGCCGCCAATTCTTGATGGTTACCTACTTGGAGGATCACCCACTCATCCCGCTTAGTGTTACTAACCTAGGTTAGTAAGTGCCCGATTCGTGGGTTATCCCATGTCTATACATCTCTATACATCTCTATACATCTCTATACATCTGTCCGTCTCTCTCTCTCTCTATAAATACACACACACACATATATATATACTTACATATGTTCATCAGTGGGTTCCATCTATGGTTACCACATTATATATCAGTGGGTTCTAGTTATATCTATGGTTGCCAACCAGTTGCTAACCATATTGATCACACTTCTTCCCAGCTTTGTTCCTTTCCGATGCCAGGAGTACAAGCGCGACAACACGGGCGGCCCGCGTGGCCAGTTGGCCGCACATCCCGCGGCAGCGCAGTTCGTCATTGACAATGCGGCACCTTGGTCAGCTGCTGAATGGGGTCGTTGGACCAGCAAATATAGTGATATATATATATATATATACAATGTGGTGCCCCCCTGTGGTTATAACTACCATAAACCCTAGTTATTTTAGTTTTAAACCAACAGAACGCTATCTTGGGGGCCCCGCATTGTAGCTGCAAGTCAAAATGTGCAGCCCCATCCATACCCTGAACCCACAGGCCGATCCATACCCCCGATCCATACGAAAACGCTGGTGATCCAGACCGATCCATACGTCTGGATCACCGCGGGCCGATCCATACCCGAATTTTGACGCATTAGTGAATTACCAGTAAAGAATATGAATCTACCATTAAAAAGAACGGGATGATAGATTTCTATGCCAACAGTCAAGGGTATTTGACCTCACAAGATCGTGTTTTTAACTGGGTTGGTAAACCTTGGCAAATGGTCACTAAAAATAGTCAAATTTCTTGCCCACAAACGGGAAAATAGACCAGCAAAAAGACCCGTACCCTCTGGTAAACAAACATAGCTATTGAAAATGGCCATAGAAATAGTTGATTTACCCATTCATAGCATGGTGATTTTCCATCGCTATGTTAATTTACCAGAGGGTATGTTGAAGGGTAGTCAGCATTGACCGTTGAAGCAGGGACCTAGCAGAAGTCACCAGAAATGATGGGTCTGCATCGAACTTGGGATGTGGCCCGTGGCCCTGAACTATCAACCTGCAAAACCAATGCATCTAATATTGAATCATGAATGACCATAAATGACCATAAATGACAATAAATGACCATAAATGACCATAAATGACCATGAACCACAAGTCTAAGAGGTCAGACTATATCTGGGTGCACAAGAGGAACTTTTCGGAGCAGACCCGTGCGGCGGGACCCTGCCGCCCTGGCGCCGTCAATGGATTGGTCTGAGGGACCTTCTTGGCACCACCAGGAAAAATCCATTGAGAAATGTTACAGGAAACCATAGATTTCATAGGAAAACCATAGGAAAACCATAGGAAAATTGTGATTAATTAATGGTGATGAATCCATGATTAATGGTGATTAATGGTGATTAATGGTAATTTACCCTCTGGTTATGACTAACATAGCCATGGGATAGATGGCCCATAGAAATGGATGGTTTACCGAACTTAAAAATGGGTGGATTTTCCATGGCTATGTAACAAATAACCAGATGGTAGATTCCATAGGAAACACCCATAGGAAAATTACAGGAAACCATAGATAGATTCCTATGAAGATCATGGGTGTTTCCTATAATTTGTCCCTTAAACCAATCCATTGAGAAAGGCTTCGCAGCAGAAGGAAGGGCTTCGCAGTCAGGTCCATCCAATGGGTAACATTGCCATCGAATTCCGCTTTTTTGGACCTGGAAATCACTACTTGGTGCAACTTGGAGAATTCCAGGGGCCCGCAACATGCTGAGATCAGCCGACTTCTGATTGACATCCAGGATGCCACGACCGCGCGCGCGATCGGCAAGGGAACAAGTCGGAAGGGTGTCATGGGATTGCTCTTCACAGTGGCTCACATTCTTCTAGTTTAGTCCTTTAATTTTTTGCTATATTGTGAATTAAATGACTAAATAGGAATATCACTAAGCAGCTATAACAATTGTTTTTTTGGGGGGAGGGGCAGGGTACTGTATCCAAGATTGGTAATGCATTGAAGATATGGGCAAACCACCAGGTGAATCGTTGATTTTCGTTTGGCTGCGATGGAACGCCTTGGTGTCTCACTAGGACTTTCCTTTCTGGGGGTCCAATGTATCAACATTGACTGGCTGGTGGTTTGGAACATGATTTTTTCATAATCCCAACTCATATTTTTCAGAGGGGTAGGCCAACCACCAACCAGCTTTTGTTACCCTCTGGTAATTTGTTACATAGCTATGGAACATGTACCGTTTGTAGATAATTTACCTACTAGAAATGGTGATTTTCCATAGTTTTTTGTATGTTTACCGGAGGGTCAACCACCAACCAGTTAAGAATTATTTTGTTTGGCTTTGTAGAAGGTTTCTTCAACACTCCCCTCCAAAAGGATCATCAGCGCATTCTCTGCACACCAATCGAAAGAGTGTTTCATGATTGGTTCACTTTTTTCGGGCCGCCAAGAATCAACGCAGGGTGGGTATACACTGTAGAAGTTCAACATGGCTATTGACAATAGCCAGTTTTAGTTGGTGAATCATCTGCAAATGAGTCATGGCTTCCATAGCAAAGTGTCATGCTGTTGTTTTTGGACATGCGTCGCACCCCACTTCCCAGGCGCAGAAGAAGGGACACATCAAAGCCTAAACTGGTTGGTGGTTTGGAACATTTTTTGTGTTCCATAGTATGTGGGATAATCCTTCCCATTGACTAATATTTTTCAGAGGGGTAGGTCAACAACCAACCAGTAAAAGCTTATCTCAAAAGCGGCCAACAGCAGCCAGCAGATGAACATCGATGAGAGATATGGATCTGAGCGACTACCAGCAACCCCCCAAAAAGATAAAACAGACAAATCCCACAAAAACAGCGGTAGATGAAACGTTGGTTGCATGTTTTCGAGGGTCTTGTAACCAGTAACAAGCCAGCTGTAACCTGCAGGATCATCACACTGATCATTCCCCAGTTTCGTGGCTTATCCATGATTGTCCTACAGCGCTTGTAGCCTCTCCCTAGTGGATGGTGCCTCCCAGTGATGTTTGTTGGTGACCCAGTGATGTTTGTTGGCTTATAAACCCCATGAATACTATAGTTATATACATCATGTTATATATTTTTACGCTTTCGTTTACGGGGGCCCCATCCTGTGCAAGGCCAATGAACGGCAGCAGGAAGGAATCAATGCAGTTGATCAACTCCTAAAGGTGGAGGCTTCCAACTTGGTCTCAGCTGCAACAAATTCCTGGGGAATTCCGGCAGTTTGCGAAATGGAAAATGGGGAAAATGGACCATAGAAATAGATGATGTACCTATTAAAGATGGTAATTTCCATAGCTTTTTGTATGTTTACCAGAGGGACATGGAAGGGGAACATTATCGGAAAATCCCCACTATGGAGCCATTGGAGCAATCGGAGGGAGCTAACCAGTTACCAATCGGCATCCTGCAGGGCAATCTCAATAGTGGGTGGGAGCTGTTTATTAGGAGCTATGGTTGACTTACTGGTGCTTAGCAGGGAATTTTCGGGAATGATCCATAATCACTAGTAATAATCATCCCATTCCCCCAGCAACCCATCCATTCCCTGCTAAGCACCAGTAAGTTGAATCATGTTCAATCATCCAAAGTTCGAAGCAAAATTTGGAGGAGCCTGTCCAAATTCCCAACTAAAAATACGAAGCCAAAGACCCCAAGGAGCCACGAATTGCGGTTCCTAATTTCAAATGCTAGAAAATCCATGAATTTCTATGCGACCCATTGATGCCATGGTAAATTGAGGATGGGACCTGATTGTTTTTACGACTTTGTTCATGTGTTTGGGGCAGTAATGTGGGCTTGATGGTCTCCAATCCTTTGCTAGATTGGTTTGGTTTATGGTGGTATATATATAGATAGATATCACATCGAACAAGTGCATGGGGTTGTGTATCAACAACCATAACTGTTGGGCACCACACTGCAGGGTTGTACAGAAACAAACAATCCCCAAAATCCAATGAAGCATTAAATCATTATTCTTGCCCATGAAGAGGTATATAAAGTCACTATTCTCCCCCCATTCATGAATATTAAGCCACTATTCTCCCTCATGAAAGGTCACTATTATATCTGGCTAAATTATAGCGACCTCACTGCGACCTCACTGGAAATCATAGTTAGTAAGGGGAATCATCCCAAAATGGCCTTATTTCACGTTAGTGAAAAAGTATAATTTACCATGATTATATTGAATTTTGAGACCTCCGCTCTTGATGTGTTCCAGAATGGTGGTTCATGGCACTCCTTTCGGTCAGGGCATCAAGGAAGTCTTAGTGCGTTGGCTGCAGTGTGAGGAAGAGTCTGGAGATTGAGAGGTGCTCTGCGAAAAGGGAATTGTGTACAATGAACGCAGTAAGCGATGAATCATGATCAATAAATAAAGTTCTGCTTTGACACATGGCTATGGATCAACATCACTATTTATAAGAGGGATCAACATCCATTTAGCAGCTATTTTGGTGTTCACCAAGGGATACATGGTAGCGGTTTTGATCCATCCCCATATGAGTGCCCCCCCCTTGGACGACGCTACAAGCAGCCAGAGCAGCCAGTATCCTGGCTCCGTTCCGGGTTGATTTGAAGGGAATCCGGTTGCACAATTTCGGCAGATGTTCCGTTCCCCAGATTTGGAACGAAAAAATCTGGAGGATACCCTCTGGTAAATTAACATAGCTATGGAAAATCACAATTTTCAATGGATAAATCCATTATAATGGCCATTTTCAATAGCTACTGTATGTTAAATTACCAGAGGGTATCTTATGGTTCCATGATGTGGTTCTGCAAGGCAGGACTCCTGGATTTCGATATTTTCCACTTGTATATCTTTGATCCCAGGAATTGAGAAATGGTTATCTCGAAATCAAGGAGCTGGGGTGCCCTGGTCTGGGGACCCACTTGGATGGCTACTTGGATGGGCAGCTTCATTCTTTGCCATAAATGATCATAAATGTGAATTCACATGGTATATGTATACAATTCTATGCAGCTAAGTTGACTTGCAATTTGCTTACCCTCTGGTAATGACTAACATAACTAATTGTGGAAAATCACCATGCTATTCATGGGAAAATTCACTATTTCTATGGTGATTTTCCATAGCTATGTTTTGAAAAATCACCACTTTTCAATATGTTTAATGGGTATATCCACTATAAACCACCCATTTTCCATAGTTTTTTCTATGTTTCTCAGTCATTACCAGAGGGTAACAACTCTCTGTTTGGTAACTACGGCGTAACCCAAAAAAAGCGACCGTTCGCTCATCCAAAGCGACCGACCGTTTCCAGCCGTTTGGGAGGATGATCTCAGGAGACTTTTATTTTTGGGGCTCCCCCAGTGATGTTTGGGGCTCCCATGACCATACAAGGTGGTGCCCCCCCCAAACGTTATAAGTTGGTTTATAAACCCCATTAACTATAGATATATCACCAACAAAAACCATAGTTATTGGAGTTATAAACCATAGTTATTAGCTATCTTGTGGGCACCACCTTGTAATATATGACTTACTGATGCGTTTCACGTATGGAATGGATGGGTTGCTGGGGGTTGCTGGGATTAGTATTACTAATCTATGGATAATCTATGGAAAATATGCATGGAATATATGGAATATGAATAGCTGGTCGGTGGTTCAATGGTGAACTTATATTTTTTGTGGTTGTATAAATATTTTTTTAAACAAAACAATGTTATATATATATAACATTTTTCCATATATTGGGAATTTCATAGTCCCAACTGACGAAATCATATTTTTCAGAGGGGTAGGTTTACCACCAACCAGATAATATACGATAGTTATATAAGTAGCAAGAACCATAGTTGTTATGTTTACCAACGTAGCGATTTCGTAAACGGGGGCCCCATTTGGTAGAATTCAGCGGTGTATTTTTGGGGTGTGTTGAAGTTGAAAGCACCAACCAAATTTTGGGGAGTAGCAAAAAGTGATTATTGCTCATTCAGATGGGCAAAAAAAAATCAGGCAACCCATACTTTGAAGCTTGGCTTGAGATTTGACATCATTTGGCTCTGGGCCAGTGATAAATAGAAACCTGGCCAGGGATCCAATGTGGGCCCCCCTAGTTATAAGTTGGTTTATAACCCCATCTAACTATGGTTATACCTACCATAAACCCTAGTGAAATTGTAGTTAGAAACCAAGTTAGCTATCTTGGGGGCCCCACATTGTACATTTCCCAATATGTGGTTGCTCATATGGACCGCCTGAACCCGCGGTTCAATTGCTGTAAATCTCCATTGATGGCAAAACCGGATACCCTCTGGTTATGACATACACATAACTATGGAAAGTCACCATAGAAATAGTGAGTTTTCCCATGAATAGCATGGTGATTTTCCATAGTTATGTAAACGTTTACCAGACGGTAGGTTTCTGAGCAACATTTCTATGACATCAAACCCATTGATTGGTCTTGCTGCTTCAGAACAATCCTCATTTTTGCAGCACAGTTTGCCAACCACATGCCAGATGCTCCCTTAGAATATTTGCAATAATTATTCACACCAAAAACACTCCAAAGGTAAGGTAAATGTATGTAAACGCATCATAGATGGAGCATACATGAGCATATAACTGTTTGATCCATCTATATGTTAGATACTGTATATGCCTCAGATTGGCAAATATATATATATAAAGAAAGAGAGAGAGAGATGCTTTTCCTTATAAATACCCATGTTTTTTTCCTTTTTCCCCGGTATCTCTCATGGCATGGAAGATAAAAATCGACAGGAGCCCAAGGATGAGGAGCTTGAAAAGCAAGTCCTCGCTACTCGGCCAGCTCGTCCCGGGTTTGTGGCAAAAAAAACTGGTGAATTTCCTCGGGAAACATTGGGATTTAAGCCCATTTAAGCACAAAGCCATAGGATCCATGGTGCTGGTATATATGCTAGCATTGGTGGTATATTGATGATAAATGTTACCATATATAGCAGCACCATGGATCCGTCATGGGAAAGAATCAAGAAAATAAGAAAACATGGGAGAGAACTAGACAAGATTGGGATTGGATTTACCGTTTGGTAAACTGTTGCAGTTTGCGAACTTGAACATGGCCATTGAAAGTTCGTTGATTTTCCTCTTAAGCAACGGTGATGTTCCATAGTTATGTTGTATGTTTACCAGAGGGCAAGCCCATTTGGGAGCGATTCGTGAAAGGAAGCTGCAAGAATGTGGGTACATAACCAACGTGAACCAATCAACCAAGTTGGGAATGTGTTGGAATCGATGATGATGATGGTGATGATGATGATGATGATGATGGTGGTGATGGTGGTGGTGGTGATGATGATGACCACGACAAATTAGTAAACATAACTGGTTGGTGGTTTCAAACATTTTTTTTTATTTTCCATTTCATATATGGGATAAACCTTCCCATTGACTAATATTTTTCAAGATGGTTAAAACCACCAACCAGATACATTTCCATACACTTCCCAATATGTGGTTGCTCACATGGTCCGCCTGAACCCGCGGTTTAATTGCTGTAAATCTCCATTGATGGCAAAACCGGATACCCTCTGGTTATGACATACATATAACTATGGAAACCACCATAGAAATATAAATAGTGAGTTTTCCCAGTTAGTAAACATAAATTTGTTCACCCATTTCTATTTCTGAGAAACTATAGGTGACTTGGGGCTATTCGAGGGATGATCCTTATGATCCTCCAGGCTTTTACCAGTTTTGAAGACGTTGTTTCTGTTGGGTGACTTGTGGTTGAGATTGCTCAAGGTGAAATCCTAACATGGCCACGGAGGAAAAACATATTATAAATCATGTTTAAATCAACTGAATCAAATATAAATGGGCCATGGTCCATAGCTATGTTAAATTACTGGGGAATAATCTAATAGAAACTATAGTAAGATAGCGGCAACGGTGTCCTTCTTGTGTGGGTGGATGATTTGGGCATTTTTGATCGCGAAATAACGTGACTATCTTGCCAGAAGAGCGCTATAGCTGGATATAGCTGGTATCAAATGCTGGCCAGTTGTACATCATACGATTTTACTCCTATATTAGCTACGTCTCCGTTTGCATACTTTTCTATATCCGCCGCGTTGATTTGATATATCATTTGCAAGCCACTTGCCTACTTGTTAGCTAAATTGAAGGAACCCCAGGCAATCAACATGTGCTGCAATCCGGGTTGACACTAGGGCCGTACAAGGTGGTGCCCCCCTAGTTATAAATGGTTTATACACCTAATTAAGTATATATACATATATATATATCACCTATAAACCATAGTTATTGGAGTTATAAACCAACTTAGCTATCTTGGGGGCACCACCTTGTAGGGTATCTCCGAAAAAAACCGTCCTGCATCCTACGGCTCAGGCATTGATGGATGAGAATCTGCACAGCTTGCGGCCATTGGTCATGGAAGACATTCCCGCCTCAGGCGGGGCCACGGGCCACAGGGCGTCCTGGACGGGTTCCACGGTTCCAGTTCCTGGGACGCACGCCGGATTTATTTCTGGTGGATCCCCTTATGTCACAACCATAAAAGGGCGTTACCCTCTGGCTATGACTAACATAGCCATGGAAGCCATGGCCCATAGAAATAGATGGTTTACCTATGTTTACCTATTTAAAATGGTGATTTTCCATGGCTATGTTAAATAACCAGATGGTAACCTTTAAGTTTAGCTACCCCCAAAAAGATGTAACATCAATTTGAACATATTTGAACATGATTTGGAGGTACACGCCGTGCGGGTGAGGGACCGTAGTGCTTTCATCGTTTTTTTTTTGAATTGCACCATCCAATGTGTCATGTTTGCTTGCAGTCGTTTTTGTATGCAGTTGGAAACGTATTATGAGATAAGCAATGGCAATTGATTGTTCAGACGATGTTCACAGCTTAAGTCCGTCACTTGCTATTGAATAGCTTGGATTCATGTGGTTGTTTCGCTGTTTCTTCCACTTAGTTGACACCTGTATGCACCAGTTGACACACAGACCAGCACGGACATCTGAACCCAAGGGTCCGAGTTTTAACATACCAGTGGCTTCCGCCAGAAATCCAGGGATAAAGCTGTGCCGTGAGAAAGATCCTCAGAGCAGGACTTGCAGGACTTGCCCTGCATGAGCAAACAGAAGAAAGACACACCTCCGGTTGTTAATGTTCAAGTTCTTCCCAGAAGCAACGTTCTTAGCCCCGCCCCACCCATCTCCGTTGGAAAGCATTGAGAGCTCCGTGAACTGCACCATAAATCCTTGTGGGAGGATGTTCCTGTTCCTTTTTTCTTGAAGGGTAACTATGATTTATGGATGTTTATGGTAGATGCACCATCCTGTACTGTAATGATCTAATAATCCTTTCCGACATACCCTCCACATAGATCCTAAAAACAGACAATTCGTCGAATGTATATTTCCAACCCCAAGAAATGGCAGGGTCTGGAGGTTTCCCATTTTTTGGGTACCAAAAATCATCCACTTTAAGGATTCTCCGTAATTCTCTGATCCATTTTTGGGGTACCTCCCACAGGAAACCAATCCTCCTGCCATCCCATGAGCAGGCTTGACGCCGAACAAGGGTCGTCGAGCGACTGATATGCAGCACAAGGCGCGCTATCGATGACTCTCAGCGGTCGAACTGGGACGCTGAGGTGAAAATTCGTCGCTGGCAAGCTTTAATGTACGTTAAATGTAAGTTATGTGGCGGAGATAGACTATGTTTGAGTAAGTGTTGGAATCAGTTTGGAACATGGTTGGTGCTTTAAAGAATGGACATTCGAGTTTGATGAAAAAAAGGACAAACCATTGGAACGTCGTGTCGAGCTGTCCAAAAAAAGGAATTCATGATCAAAAATCAGGGTGTTCACCATCTTGAACATTGGGGTTTAAACTGAAGCATGTGATGAATATGGAAAATTGTCTTGGTTGTATAATGTTGTATAATGTTGTATATGAGATAACCATGAAAACATGATCAACCATGTCCTGTAATTAATCCCTTCCCCCTAATATTAAATTAAACACTCACAAGAAGCATAGTTTAGTACGGATTTTACATATTGGGACCCCTTGAGGGTGTGTTTAGTATTTCGGGACGTGGGATCCTTGGTGCATTGTAAAAAAACAGTTTGTGCTGTGAATCATGTTTGTTTTTTCTCCGCACCTTTGATGCTTCCATAATCTGTGACTACTAGGATCAGCTTGGAGACGGAGTGGTAGCATACACATGTGCTATTTTCAATCATGTTAGTAAAACCATGTAAAACCATACAATCCACCATTCCCGATTTAGTAAAAAAATGTGGAAATAAACTCCATCAAATGATGGTCGTTTTCTGACTCTACTCAGATTATTAAAGTCACCACCAGTTCTTATTGTCAACATTCATCGTGGTTTCAGGTGGGTAACTGATAGCAGTCAGGCGGTCAAGCAGCATATGTTTTTTTCTGCTCCTGTCCCGTCTTTTGGGGGTTTTCGTAAATGGGGGTACCCCCAAAAAAATGTTTTTGTTGATTGAACATCCCAATCTAAAATGTTTGGGGGTACCCCCAGATCATGAAACCTTCATTGGTTGCGTTTGCAAAACCATGTTTGTTGGCGTCAGTCCAGCCCACTGCACGTTTGAATCTCCCCGAAATCCGAGGATTGAAATCCCAGGATTGGTGGATTTGCTGGGAAGATCGTAGATCAACCTCCGGACTTGAATGTTTTAAGGTTTTAGTCATAGATGCCATACTGATACTGGTTGGTAGTTTGGAACATGAATTTTGTGTTGTCATATGCTGGGAATTTCATAATCCCACCTGACGAACTCCATCATTTTTCAGAGGGGTAGGTATACCACCAACCAGTGATATTTGTTAATTTTGTTTGCAGCCTTTCAGTCCCGGAATTGTGAACGAAGGAATGAAACTCAGAAGAAATGTGATCGAATCCATTGATTTTCAAAATGGTTCTTGAACTGTTTTTTTTACACTGAAGCATAGCCCTGCTTTTTTTTTTTCGGATGCAGTTCCCTGCAAAAGCCCACATTGCCGTCAGAAGGTGGGCCTGGTCTATGCTTCTGCCGTACCGGTGCAGGCTTACATGAACAAAGGCACCGCGGCACGGCAGCGAGGGATTTATAGCGCGGGTGTCTACCAAGCATTAAAACACCGATTCTTAAGGCTTTTTTAAGAAATCAACGTATCAAATGAAACGGGTTAAAGCATGTTAAACCAAATGAATGTGTAATTGATACTTTGATTGTTGTTTCATTTGATGGAAACATATCAACTTATTAGCAGCCTTTTCTTGATAGAGTATCGAATAGATTGGCATCCCAGTTATATCCATATTTGGACTAATCCTCCGTACCCTACTTGTAACATCTTAAGATCACTGGGCTTACACTGGAGTTCGAACAGCTGATGTTATCCGTATCTCTTCAACAGTTATGTTCAAATCATCTACCTCAAATCCCATGGAGTTTCAACGCAGCGTTCTTACATGTCAACAATGTAATACCATATCAAGGGGATTTTCAGGATCCAATTGATGGAGGTCCGTTAGTACTATGTTTGACCATATTTTGTGGGGATGTTCCGTTACATATGCCTAAACATAGGCCTTCTATATGGTAGGTACCTCAATTTAATTTGGGTTCCTGAAATGGCAATTGTCCATATGTTATGTCCTATTTTTGTTTGACAAATCAGCCCCATCGAGACTTGTAGTGGAATAGGCTCCCTATTGATCAGGGTTGGGACTGCTACAGTAGAACCATCCAGGGAACTGGATTTGATACCGGCCTCATGGTCTGAGAGCGGCAAACGATGAAGAGTCTTGTCTGATCCACTGCCTGATGAGTTTGACATCAGAAAGCATTCCCAGTGGAGACGAGAGGAGATTCTCATGGAGTCCAAGGGGCACCCGGAGCCCCTAAGGTCGTCCCTGCTTCAGCGATGTTCCGAACCGAACACGGCGCAGTCCTGGATGGTCGAATCATTGAGACCCAAGCCGCTTTGAAAACTGCCAAAGCCTGGGTTGCAAAGCTTGTGTATACAGCTGGTTGTCGTCTTTTCTGGGACTATGGCACTTGCAAAACCCACTGGAGAATGATCATTTTACCCATTCTGGTTGGTGGCTTGGATTGGGAATTTCATAAACCCAACTGACGAACTCCATCATTTTTCAGAGGGGTAGGTCAACCACCAACCAGCATTGACATTACCATATTTGGGGAACTACCATCTGATTATTAATTTAACAGTTTGCCACGGAAAATCCACCAATTTTTCATAGGTAAACCATCTATTTCTATGTGCCATCTATACCATGGCTATGTTAGTCATAACCAGAGGGTAATTGAATTACACCTCATTTTGAGAGAAACCCATCGATGACAGAAATTGGTTCCTGCCTCAGGACCAAAGGCTGCGAACAGGGCATTTCAGGCGCCGCATTTCTGGGAAGGTGTGGCATGCGTGGCCGGCCCTGTGCGAACACTGGCAGCCAGTGATCCCAAGTTTGATAAGTTACAAGTTCATGTTGGTTTGTTTGCTCGAAAACTGGCTCGGATTTATGGCGGATACAACTATGCACGTATTTACCATATACATACATATGCATACATATACATATACATATATATATATATGTAGATAAAGAAAATTGTTATAAAGATGGTATGTTGTTGTTGCCCAACTTTATTTTCACGGAAAGGCCTTCCTATAATTAGCCGGGATTGTAAGATTTCGTGAGCAAAGATATCGAGTTTTTTGTTGTCGGTCTAAGTGAGTAACTTATAACAGTTAGGCTATAACATCAAGACTGGAAATATTCTGGAATGAGAGGTTGGTTGAAGTGAACGAACACAATGAAAGTAATTAAAGCCAAACTTTTTCATAGCCGGGTTCTCGAAGGTTGGAATGTGATTTTCCCAACGGTCGATTTCATCACTTTTTGGGGTACCACAAGCACCACAACCACCACAACCCTCCGGTAAACATTTACATAACCATGGAAAAATCACCATTTTTGATGGGTAAATCCACTATTTCGACTGGGCCATTTTCAATAGCTTTTTGTATGTTTACCAGAGGGTAATCAATCAGGGTTTGTTCATATTTATTAATCCAGGGTTCACATAGATTCTATAGATGATCCCATCCCCCCCATGATTAAACACCTCCTAAACAGGCCCAAGTATGTTGAAATGCCGTAGCAAACCATGGTTTCTGGGGTGTTGAATATTGGGGGCATGGGATTTCTGGCTTTGGATTCATTGATCCCATTGAAATTGATGGCTGTTGTGGGGTCTCAGGTATTGATAGCTGTGGTTTGGAACATGTTTTTCATTTTTCCATTCAGTTGGGAATAATAATAATAATAATCCCAACTGACTTTTCACTCCATCATTTTTCAGAGGGGTAGGTCAACCACCAACCAGATAGGATTTGATAGGTATAGGCTATACCGGCTACATGGTTTGGCCATATATTTGGATGAAGTTCATGCCAGAACATAGATGAACTATCTTCAATGATGGTGAGTAATATTGGATTACTGGTTGGTGGTTTGGAACATTTTTTATGACTCCGTATATATTGGGAATAATCATCCCAATTGACTATTTTTCAGAGGGGTAGGTATACCACCAACCAGTTGATATTGGATTGGAATTAGAGTGGTCCAGCAGTCCAGCAGTAGGTGTACTTATGTTTACTCATGCATGACTGTAGACACGGTAGATATCTCCGCCTGTTCAAATCCAGTAAGTTAGCTTACGTAGTCATTTCAACCAGCTTATCTTAGCTGGACCCATGTTGGATAAAAATCGTATATCTTTGGGGAACACTTGGAACACTTAACTGGTTGGTGGTTTGGAACCATGGAATTTGATGACTTTCCATTCAGTTGGGAATTTCATCATCCCAAAGGAGGAGTTGAAACCACCAACCAGTTAATCAACTTGCCCTCTGGTAATTTAGCATAGCTATTGAACATACCCCATTTAATGCATTTAGTTCGTTGATTTACCTATTCAAAATGGTGATTTTCTATAGTTATGTAAACGTTTACCAGAAGGGTAATCAATCGAAAGAACAATTCTTAAACCCTTTGTGGATGACCATGGACCCAGCTTTGGTGCCACACAATTGAGCCAGAGGAATGCGTCGCGCGCCGTATTCTCACAGCGCAGCTGCTTAGCTCAGTTAGTTGGGTGGAGGATTGGTTCTTATTTTACTTCGATTTTTGGGGTAGATATGGACGCAACTAGGATATCCTGATGATATCCTCGATATTCCTCGATTATTAATCGGATTACTTGGCTTACGTATCGATTGGAATATGGACATTGGCGAAATACTTGGATTACCCTTTGGTGATTCATATAATAATTACCATCTGGTAATTTAACATAGCTATTGAAAATTGCCATTTATAGTGGATTTTCCCATTAAAAATTGTGATTTTCCATAGTTATGTTAGTTTACCAGAGGGTAATAATTAATGTAGAAATGGAATAATGCAGTTATTCTCATCATTTTGTTTGGCCGTTAGTTTGAGAAATTATGAGATGTCAACATATGTCAACTGCCTGTGACTTTTTAGCAGATCCGTGAAGAAAGGTATGGGTGGCCCAACCCTCAACAGGAATATTTTGCTTCCAGAAAATGCATAGTTCGACCTTAGCACGGCTTGGAAGATGAGTTTCCCCCCAAAAAAAATGGTGTGTTTTCAGGGTCGAACTGTGAATTTACCAGAGGGTAGTCAAGGGGTTATCAAGCCCACATCAACAGTTGTGGGTGGCTTATTCTAGGTCAGTCTTACATGGATACAAACTAATCCTTTAATCTTTTGGTATTAATGGGAATATCTACTAATTAACCAGCAAAGAATTTGCTCCATTTTTTGCAGGGCATCTGGCTGATTGGCAATGTATTCAAGCGGTATTACCCTTTGGTTATTTTACATAGCCATGGAAAATGGCCCATTTATAGATGATTTTCCCAGCTATAAACCTCCATTTATGGTTGGGATTTTCCATGGCTATGTTGGTCATAACCAGATGGTAATTTGATGGGAGTACCTTTTCGGGGTCGTGGGTTGTACTCTTGGAGAAAATTAGCCATCAGCCTGGCTGCGGTTATCAAGATTCGCCCTAAAGCTGGTTGTCTCAGCTTTCTGATCTGCCAAAGGGATCCTGTAAACGTACAGCCATCGACGTGGAGAAGCCACTATGAAATATACTATTCTAGATCATGTTCCGAAGGAAACCATGGTTTTTCCACATTTGTTTCAGGCAGTTTGCTCCAAAGATTTCATTCATCAAACCTTTCATGGGAATCTTGACCGCAACTCAAAAGCTAGGGAACCCCTAGGGTAAACATACGAAAAGATGTGGAAAACCATGGAAAACCATTCGTTTTCCTAGGACAATGATCTATAAATGGTGGCTTTTGCACATCGAAATGTTAGTTTACGGCGGTTTCGCATTTTTTGCGGTTCGTTTCAAAGATTGGCCATGAGATCCAACGATTTCCTTTGTCCATCGGTTGATAAAATAGATAAATAAATAATAACTAAATACATAGTTAAATGAATATATATATACAAACAGGGTTTCAACCCACTTCGAAGCCTTCAAGGTAAATGATGAGAAATTGCATACTAGACTGGATACCAAAGGGACATTGTTGATATTTATCGGGTCTAAAACACCACCCTTAACCATAATGATCCATAATGGTCCATAATTTAACATAGCATCATATACCATTTTTAGCCATATTAATTTCTCCATAACAACACATCCGTCATGATCCATAATAATCATTCAAGTCTTTCCCATCCCAGATCTTCAAAAAGTAAGTTTTGTTGAATATCACACTTTTTTCTGGTACTTAGGGCGCCCCAGGTATGCCATACTGATCCAGGGTGCTTTTGTTGAAAAGTCGACTGACATTCGACTGACCCTCCGAAGGTATTTCGGTGCTTTGAAGCATGCTGCCGAATGGGCCTCTGAGAAGAAGCTGCAAAGGATAGCAGGGAAACTTGGGATTCATGGTGACTTAATGGTGGTTGGGGAAAAAACATAAGAAAACCATAGGAAAATTGTGATTTAATGAAGAATTTATGATTTTCATGGTGATTTCATGGTGATTTATGGGATTTAGTTCGCCAAATTTGATGTTTAATCATCATTTTCCACATTGCCATTTTGCATGCCAGTCCCCATTGTCAGACACATCTACAGCAACTTCCTATGCAACTCCTAAACATGATATTTTTCGCTCAGAATGTCAGCCAGCCTGTCGCAGGAAAGTTTTTTTGATGCCTTTGGGTGGCGGTGTCTTCAACAATCCCTGGGAGTCCATCTGTAGCAGCATGGCCAATGCGACTCTTGGATTCGCGCTGTTCGCCTGTTTTGACCTCCTTGGTTCTACAAGGTGGTGCCCCATTTATTGATCCGGGGAGATTTGGAAAGAGGTTTGCTCCCTGGCAACCACCCATGCCAATGGAAAATCCAAAAGATTTGTAGATTGATAGCTGTTGGTAGTTTGGAACATGTTTATTTTTCCATACATTGGGAATGTCATCATCCCAACTGACGAACTCCATCATTTTTCAGAGGGGTAGGGCTCCACCACCAACCAATTGTTGTTGCTGATAACCCCCTGAAGAAGTTCGATATATCTACCATAAACCCAAGTGAAATTGGATGTTCGCCAACTTGGCGAACGGATTGGGGCACCACCTTGTAGCTTCCCAATGGGAGATCCACTACGACTGGAGTTTTTTTGGGGGGTTTCTTAAGCAAACCCAAGATCTACTCATACGGGGAACTATATCCCATAGGATCCATGTATGCTATATATGGTAACATTTACCATCAATATAACCCAAATGTTAGCATATATACCATACATGGATCCTATGGGTATATTAATTTTCAAGCCAAAGTGCTAATATTTCCTCCCTATCAAGGACATGCCAAGTTCAGTCGTCGAAGGTCTCTGTTCAAGAACGCCATATATAAAGGGAACCCACAAAAGCCAGACAATGGAGAAACGACGGAGAGTTCTGACTTCGAAACCATTTGGTGATGTCCTTTGTCATGGGGGGACCCCGGATTTTTCCGATATTATTTTATATATATATAATATATATATATAATATATATAATATATATATATATGTATATAATATATATATAATATATATATGTATAATATATATATAATATATATATATATAATATATATATATATATATGTTTTTCATATAATATTATAAATGGCAGTAGGGAAAAATATATATATATATATTCGAACATATCTTCCACATATATAATGTCCACATTATAATGATAAGATATTGTAAGAATATAATATGTTCTTTATATCTATAAGCAGTAGGGACACCACATGGTTTTGTCCCCGTTTTAGTTTAGGAAGCCTCCAATAAAAAGATTGGCAACTTCTCAACCACGAAAAAAAACAGTCTCACGATGGAAAGTGAAAGTTGGAGATGATTGGAGAGAAAATTGTGCCTACCCTTTATGAAACACTTAAATTATCATGAACCTCACAACATATATAGCTATAGGAAATCTATCGGTTTCAGGAAATGATCTACGTTCATGGTGGATGTTGATGTACGCAGAGTCAGGACTTGTTTGCTCGTAGAATCAAAAAGATGGATTCAACCCCAAATCATCCTAATCCTACTTGGATGGACTAGACAATATGATATATAGATACTATAGACATCTATAGACTATGGCCATACATGTTTTTCTCCCAATCACAAACCGAATCTCGAACAAAAATCTCAGATGACACCCATTTTTCCAGCAACATCTTCTTCCACCCAGGATACCCTCTGGTAAACTAACATAGCTATGGAAAATCACCAGTTTCAATGGGTAAATCCACTATTTCTATGGCCATTTTCAATAGCTAACTGTTGACATAACCAGAGGGTATCACCATCATCAATCACCATTAATTTCCTGGTTAAATCACCATTTTCCTATGGTTTTCCTATGGTTTTCCTATGGTTAAGGGACCACCCATCATTTCTGCACAACGGGAGCCGAGGATGGCCATGCTCTCCGAGCAGTTTCCCAACGCTCCCGAGCTCTTGGACGTCTACGCCTTGGCATGGAACGGCAACCGAGCCGAGGAGGACGGACTTCGGCGGAACCCGGACCGGCGGAACCAGGGTTTTTGTAGCAAGGTGGGACGGAAAACCATAGGAAAACCATAGGAAAACCCATAGAAAAATGGTGATTTAACCAGGAAAGATATGGAGATTAGATGAGATTAGAATTCAGAATTACTCTTGTGGGTAAAACAATGCCATTCTTACCACCCATGACTGGGAATAGCTGCCAAACCACCTATCAAAATGGTGAGTTGGGGAATGGTTCATGGTTGTTTTACCCACATTAGAGATTTTTGCAATGTGTTTTTTTTTGCGGCGAACATAGGTTTTTTTTTAATGATTTATTACAATGGTTGTTTGCTAAGTTGCTGAAGATATCTCCGAAAAACGTTGGGCTTCTGGTAGATCATGGTAGGTCTATAGAACTATACAGGATGATGCCCCCCAGTTATAAGTTGGTTTATAAACCCCATTAAGTATAGTTATATCTGCCATAAACCATAGTTATGTGAGTTATAAACCAACTTAGCTAACGAACTGGGGCACCACCTTGTAGTTCATGGTCGGGTCTTTTTGAGCCAACAGAACCTTGGCCCACACTGCGATGGCTGGAGAAATAGCAGCAATTCTTACTACTCTCATACTACCCCCATAAGAAAGCCCAATATATAGTTGTTAAGATTATGGGAATGAAGGTCCCATCATTGCTGGTCCTTCTAAATTCCACTTAATTACAAACTAGACTCATTCAACCCCATTAAAAACAACACTGTTAAGTCATGACCACCATTACTATTCCATTCATATTTATCTGATATTCTACTAATAACCCAACAGTTTCGGATGATAACGCACAAGAAATGAAGACAACCGCAAAACCCAGCATTTAGATGACACATGTGAGTTAAGAGTAGCCACAAAGATGTTCCATAACCTTTAGCATCCAAGGTGGGAACACCCAGTTATAAAGTGGTTTATAAACCCAACTAACATCCAATTACCCTCTGGTTATGTCAGAATAGCTATTGAAAATGGCCATAGAAATAGTGAGTTTTCCCATCAAAAATGATGATTTTCCATAGTTATGTAAACGTTTACCAGAGGCTAACTTTATTTATAAGTATCCATAAACCATAGGGTTCACCAAGTGATGTTCACCAACAAGTCGCGATTTCGTAAACGGGGGCCCCACCTTGTAGCACTGGTGGTAGAACCATAGGGATGCTTCAAGAAAATCAACGTGTCTTGGTGCAATTGGAGGTGTTTATTGTCTTATAGGCCCCCTTCTGGATGGCTTATAGCCATAGCTACCCTTAAAGACTTAGATTATATATGTTTATCTTAGGTTGTGGGCCTTAGGCCTGTCACAAACCACCTTGCATACCCTCCAGTAAATTGAACAAAAAGTAAATCATCCTGAGTTTCATATCTGTTTGGTGGTTTGGAACATTTTTTATTTTTCCATACGTTGGGAATAATAATCCCAACTGACGAAGTCATATTTTTCAGAGGGGTAGGTCAACCACCAACCAGATATGGTATACCGTATGCGCCGTATAGCATTTAAATCATCTATTTTTCATGGGCCATGGAAGCCATGACAAACCACCGGGGAACAACTCCCAGGAGACATTGGAAAGGTTCCTGAAAGGTTCCTGAAAGGGCCGCGGCGACTTAGCTGCTGGCTGCATGTGCAGCCGATGTTTCGACGGCGATGACAAGCTGTTTCCGATGAACAGAGACATAGAAACAAAACAACCACGGAAATATTATGGTACCCTAGGTACCCTAAAATAGCTGGCTAATGGAGGTTAATGTGGGTCTATTGACCAAAATATGGTGATACTGTAGTACTAGGTTTTGGAGTTTTGACCCATAAGAATATAGGTTTCTGGTTTGCAAGCTATAACCATTTGTTGACAAATGGATTAGTGACTGGATGCTAGGGGAAAAACCTATACATATACGTGATTACATGTGCGTGTGTTTCACAGATTATTAGTGCAATATGGTTGTCTTATCGGTTTGTATCAGTACAACGTCCACCAAAAAGCGGCAGAAATTGTGCACAGTCGTTCTCCGGATATGGGCGACCAGGCACGGCCATTCACCAATGTTCAGTCAAAATCAATGAACCATACCTGCAGAGATAATTAAAGATGATGATACTCGTTAACCAGTGATAAAGCCCGGTAAAATATGGTAAAATCACATAAATTCAGTGCTAAGTTACTAAGTTGAAATTCCATGTTCGATTGAATTCGAAATCGTGCCCACTATGTGCCCTTTGTTGGTGAATGATTACCTAATGATTGTGTGGCTGAGACCTTAGGATGTAAAACATGTCTGCAAGGTGGCGCCTTCCCAGTTATAAATTGTATGCTTAAAATTAAACCCATTAGCTATAAGTAAATACATACATACACATATGCACCATAAACCCCAGTTAGCCATAGGCCATAGTTAAACATAGCGAAACTCGTTCTACACTAGGCTAGCTGAGGATTGAGGGCTTTAAGATGTTTTAAGCACCTTAGCTGCCTTAGCTGAGGATGATCAAAGGTGTTTAATAAGTTTCATACGATGGGCAGATGGACTTCCATTTCGCTCCGACATGAATCTCAGACCTGGTCGGATGATGTCGGATGGTCGCATTCAATCGCGGTTTTCACCAGACCCATTTACATGTGGATTTCATGTCCAAACACTACTTGGTGTGACCAGAAACCATATTGGAGCTTTCCCAATATGACCTCAAAGCCACCTTGGGTCCTCGGGATGAAGTTACCAAGTATCCAGTGATCACCAGATATCACCAGTGCAAAGCCACGTGGAAAGCCATGTCATTCCATCAACTTCATCTATAGCAGCTGGGTTTGATCATCACTGGAACGTTGGTTCGGGATGGGGGGGAATCACCCCCAAAGGGCATCATTTTCAGATAGGTTTTTGGATGTTTTTGGGTTGATGAAAGTGATGAAAGCCAAGAATCCAGCCAGATATTTTTTTATTCAGCCAATAAGTAGGCAATAATTCAGCAAGATAAATGGCCAAGTTCCAATCCTTTCTAGAAATTAGACATGTTTCGAAGGAAATTGGCTTGGCTCGCTGTCGTGAGGAGCTCAAAAGCACCAGACCGTTCAAGCTTAGCCCAACGGGGAAACTGCACAGTGCACAGCACAGATCTCGCCTGGATTAGTCGCTGGATGAATGGTAAGCTACCACATGGGAGACCTTTGATTTCAGAATTCTATGAGGAGTTTACCTTCCAACATACTGTGGATGGTTGCGAAATCCTG